CCTCCCCCTCCCCTTCCTCTCCCCTCCCTCCCCCTCCCCTCCCATCTCTCAAGAGGCTGCCCCTGGGGACACCAGGAGAGGACTGACTAGGTGTTGGAGTGAGGAGGATGCGGGGTTTGGGTTTGGACACTAAGCACTGTCGCGGATGAGGAAAGGGCCTTGTGTAGAGTTGTTGAGACCATGAAGTGAGGTGACGTGACCGGCCAAGCCTGGAGCCTGGCACACAGGTAGAGCGTGATTGATGGGCGCCTCGTGCCCCTGGCTCCTAGCCCAGGGCCTGACCCACGGCGGGAGCTGAAGGAACAGGACTTCCTTGTCTCACCGAGCGTGACACAGGCCTTGCAGCTGATGGGCTCTCAGTAAACAGTTTCTAATGGCTGCCAAAGGCACACTCGCTCTCCTGCCACTCCCAGCCTCTTCTCCCCCTCAGCATCGCTCTGACATGGGGTGACAGCTGTGGGAGAAGGGAGAATGGCTCTGTGCCTCCCTGCCCCATCCGCTGGCTCAGCGCCCGCCCGCAATGCCTGTGTGCGGCCTGTCCTGTCCGAGGCTCTGGCCGGTGCCCCTCCTCCCTGGGCGAGGGAGATGGAGGGAAGAGTGTGGGAGGGAGACCTGGAGCTTTGTCCTGCTCCTTCTCTGAAGAGAGGGCGCTGTAGGCAGCTGGTGCCAATCACCTCACCTCACCCCCTTTTCACGAGGGCCGGGGCTTGGCCCCAGGGGCCCCGGGCGGCCTCCATTCCCAGCACAGTCCCCCGGGAAGAAGCCTTGGCTGTGATGATGGAAAAATGTCCTGCCAAGAAAGTTGTAGCTGGGAAAGCGTCTGAGGGGGTAGCAGAGAAGACTGGACGGTGGGGGTGGGGAGTGGTGGGCGGTGGGAGGAGAGGGGAAATCATGGGTGTGGGAGGAGCGGGAGGATGGGAAGAGAATCGAGGATGGGGGCCCCCGCTGGAGAGGGGCGCTCACCCCGCCCCTGTGCCAGCAGAGGCCTGGGGCTGGCCAGGCTGGCCTCTGGGCCGGGGCCTCCACAGAGGGCCCGGTGCGGTCTCGCCTCACGCTGGGCCTCCGGAGCTGGTCCCTGGGCCACTCTGGGCCTCTGGCACTTTTGCCCCCGGCGTGGCATTCCTGGCATTTCTGGGAGGTTTTCAACTAGCCTCGGGCTGGGGCCAAGGAGCCGGTAGGGAAGGCCTGGTCAGAACAGGTGCTGGGAACAGGCGGTTCTTTGCAGCCATGGGCACAACTGGCCAGGCCGCCTGGCCGGCGTGTGTGTGTGTGTGTGTGTGTGTGTGTGTGTGTGTGCGCGCATGAGGGTCCCTCACGCCGACAGAACGGTGCAGTACGTGATGGTTGCGCACCAGCTATGCCGCGGCCTGGGCTTCTCTGTGGTCCTTGAGTGCCGTGCCTGGCTCTGAGGGGTGAGGCCAGCGTAGCTGTGGGGAGCTCCTAGGGGTGAGGCCGGCGTAGCTGTGGGGAGCTCCGAGGGGTGAGGCCCACTAGCTGTGGGGAGCAGAGCTCCGCCTCTAACCCCGCCCCGCTCCGCCCCCCTGCAGGCTGCTGGTGGGCGCTCCCCAGGCCCAGGCCCTCCCTGGGCAGCAGGCGAATCGCACTGGAGGCCTCTTTGCGTGCCCCCTCAGCCTGGCCGAGACTGACTGCTACCGAGTGGACATCGACCGGGGAGGTGCGGGCCCTTGAGGGCCGGAGTGGGGACTCCCGAGGAGGGGGAGGGGACTTGGCCCTGTCCTCCCCCCTAACCCCCAGTGTCCCGTCCCCAGCTGATGTACAGAAGGAGAGCAAGGAGAACCAGTGGCTGGGAGTCAGTGTCCGGAGCCAGGGGCCCGGGGGCAAGGTGGTTGTGAGTACCCCTGGGGCCACGCGGGGCCGTGCGCACGCTGTGAGCCAGTGTGTGCTGACAACCCAGGCTGGGCGTACGGTGGGGTGACTGGACCCCCAGGACCTCGGGGAGGTCTAAAAACGTGTAAGACGCGGCCACTGGCCTTATGAACTTAATCACTCATGTATCCCTAACTATCTTCTAGCTATCATCTATCCTCTATCTATCTACCTATCCAGCTATCCATCCATCCATCATCTGTCAATCATCTATCAATCATCTGTCTGTCTATCTATCATCTATCTACCTGTCATCATTTAGCTGTCTATCATCTATCTCTTTATCCTCTATCTATCTATCAATTGATCTATCTATCTACCAATTATCTATCTATCTACCAATCTATCTACCTACCTATCTATCTATCTATCTA